TCATTCACTTGGTGCAAAGGTGATTGGACAACTCCTTGTCACTCAGCTGTGTGCTTTAAATATCAACAAGAATGTCTTTATTCTTTACCTTCTCGTAATTCCTTAACCTTAACATCTGTATTCAATCAGCCCAAGTGTCCACTTAAGACTCTGAACTACTCTTTCATGAACAAATGTTTCAGGCTTATGGGCTTATTAACTATATTACAATGACAAACTGGTTTCTGAAAAGCATGTCATATGATATAAGTCAAAAACACCAACAATAACAATTCATATTTTAGATATTATAATCTTAAATTTATATTAGATAAATGTTTATCAATTTGAAAAAGTCCTTTTGCAAATTAAGATCTTATTATAATCTCAAAGTCAATGCAATATGAATAGGCTATCACTCTGTGTGGTTCTCTCCACAATAAGCACTTGCCTTCCAAATTAAGGAAAGAAAATCACCAATCCTATCTCTACCTGCTGTAGTCTTGTGAAGACGACAAACAGGAATTAAGTACTGTGAATTCATTAGGTGCCCTTGAAACCAATTACTTTCTCTCTGTGAACTCCAAATGGAGGTTTTCCATAGACTTGAAGTCTCCTAGCTCTAAATGTATAATTAAAAGGACTTACTTTTCAGATCTGACCTACTAATGTAGTCTAAAGCTCTACTGTGTGGGGGGATTTCTAAAAAGTAATAGTTAAAACTGTAAGATTTCTAATAAACAGGAGGGCAGATATTCTTATTAACATAAGTTAATATTATTCATGCCTCAGGATCTTCACACAACTATTTCTTCTTTTACTTTTCCAGATTTCGTCACCACAATCTTCACTGTCATCTCTCAAAGATTATTAATCTCCTCCTCCTTCTGTACTTCCTGACTTCTCCCAGATGGGATTGCTTCCATGTATGCTGACTCTCTAGTTATAGCAGTAATCCAGCCCTCCTAGTTCCTGCCATCTGAGCCATTAGATCACTATCTACCTCTTCAGTATCCCCTGCTAATTGCATTTGTTCATTTCCCACACATGCTGCGTGATGTGGTCTTTTGGGCAATAATTTATTCCTATTGTTTTACTAGATGGGTTTTATATTAACAGATATTTTCCCTCTGTCATGTCACTATAGTATACAAAGACCTACATGATTTATCATTAAATTCTCCAGGCAATTAATGATGTAGTTGAAATGCAATAATATTTTAATTTCTCATAAAGTCTTAATTTTCTTCCCTGAAATTTTATACTAATGAAACACTTTCTTCTTCAAGATGATTACAAATTAAGAGTTGTCTAACAGCATTCACTGTGTACTATCATATCCAATAAGAGGCATCACAAGTAGAACACAAGGTAAGAAACAGGATTTCTTCTCCCTCAAAAATGTTTTCTGGGCTGGGAAGGTGGCCCAGTGCTAGATTCCTCAGCACCACATAAGCAGAAAAAACCTGGAAGTGGCTCAAGTGGTAAAGCGCTAGCCTTGAGCTGAAGAGCTGAGGGACAGTGCCCATGCCCAGAGTTCAGGCAAAAAAAAAAAAAAGAAAAGTTTTCTGGCCAAGATTAGGATGGTGTTGTCCAATTTATTTGCCTTTATCTGAAATATGTGCGTAAGCCTACCAGTGGTTAGATGGCACCCTCAGTGAGACACAGGTAAAGAGCATGCTCAACTCTATCACACCCAGAGGCTGTTACACCTGCTGGCTCCTATTTTGTTAGTAATGAGCTTTATTCTTCTGTTCCCTTCCTTCCCTTTATTTTCCTTTTCCTTCCGTCTTTTATGTAAATATAATATACTTATATATATATATATATGTACTTTATAAACAATAGCAAGTTAGGCCTTTTCAAAAGAATATACAGGAAAACTACACATTGCAGGCATCATGAGTTGTGACATAGGGGTTAACTGTGTCACAAGAGAATATCAGTGGATCTTGCAAGAGGATTGTGAGCACATGTTTTCCATTTGTCATGATGACAAGACAAAACATGAGTATGAGTGACAAATTTTGACTGAATTGATAAAGAGTATTCTGACATGTTCTTTGCAATTGTTCATCTCAGGGTTAAATACCACTTCTTAAATATGAGCTAAACATCACTCTATTTAAAGTTAGAGATGGACAAAGAGAACCACTTAACTCTCCTACTCAACTAATTGAGTCTTGTATGTGAGTACAAGTATTTCTAAGACATCAGTAGAACATCTGTCTTCCCAGGAATACTTCTGCAGCAGTATTTTACTTCATATAGAGCTGTGGTCTGAAAAAAACATATTATCAGCCAGGTGCTGGTGACTCATGACTGCAACCCTAGCTACTCAGGATCTGAGGATCACAGTTCAAAGCCAGACCAGGAAGGAAAATCTCCATTTAATCACCAAAATGGAGCTGTGGCTCAAGTGGGAGAGCACTAGCCTTGAGCAAAAATTGCTCATGGAAACATTTCTATTTTTACTCTATGAGAAGGAAACTACTGTTCCTTGTGTTCTCAGGTACATTCTGTGTGTCAGAAAAAGACCTATGTAAGAATAAGAAATTGAACTTAATTTGGTTCAAACCAATTTAAACTATATTATTCTCTCATGAAACAGTTTTCCATAACTCTCCATTCATATATTGCAAATCTTCACCAATCCAAATTAAAATGTAGAATTATCAGTGACATCTCATTTACAAATAAAACAGTGAAGGTTCTTATTCATTCTTTTTCTTTTTGAATTGTTTTTGCTTCTCCTAAGGCTTGAACTCTGGGTCTGGGCACTGTTCCTGAGCTCCCTTTGTTCAAGACTTGCATTCTACCACTTGAGCCACAGTGCCACTTCCAGCTTTTTCTGTGATTAATTGTAGATAAGACTCATGGACTTTCCTGCCCAGGTAGGCTTTGAACTGCAATCTCAGATCTCAGCCTCTTAAGTAGCTAGGATTACAGGCAAGAGCCACTGGTGCCAAGCTTTTTTGGACAATTATTATCTTTAAGTAGTTATTCAAAGGAGTGTCCATTCAGAAAAACAGTTTATGAAGACTGTGCATCTTGATTAGTGTCACCTCTTGCAACTTTCCCACCCATCCTTCTCAACCCACCCCTTCCTTCACTTTTCTTAATTTTTGGACTATGTGTTGGATTTTTTTTTCCATTAACAAAGCAGTTTATGTATACAATTCATCTTGACCTGTGTTATCCCTTCAGTCTCTTCACTCCCCTCTGACCCATTCCTTCCCTTATTTTCTTAATTTTGTGGTTCATACAATGACTTCTTGCCAGCATTATCTCCCCTTATACCTTCATTCTTCTATCCTTCTCCCCTTGGCCCCACCCTCCCCCATGCAAATACCCATTTCCTGGTATTTATTTTGTTGTCTTTGACTTAGTCTTCCTAAATAATTATACAATTTGAGCTCTCCTTACAGTCTATTATACTTCAGGTAATTCATTTGTAATCCGTTTCATACCACATAGTGTGTTTACTTACAGATTTATAGGTACACTCTAGCTACCAAAAATGAGGAAAACCATGCAACCTATGTTTTTCTAGGTCTGGCTTACTTCACTTATAATTTTTTCCCACATTTTTCTATTTCCTTACAGATGGTACAGTGTCATTCTTTCTGATGGATGAGTAGAATTTCATTGTGTTGAGGGGTGTCTATGCTGATTTCCTATCTTGGCTATGGTACATAGTGCTTCAATGAACATGGTTGTATTGGTGGCTTTACTATAACCTTGTTTGTGTTCTATTGAATAAATGCCCAAAAGTGGAATTATAGGGGTCATCACCTTGCACCAGCATCAACTCAAAATGGATCAAAGACTTCAATGTGGGGCCTGAAACCACGAGGAAGGGGTAGGGGAAACACTAGGGCTCCTAGGCAAAGATAAAATCTTTCTGGGTAATGATCCAGAGACACAACAAATCACAGAAAGATTTTATAAATGGGACTGTATCAAACATAAAAGTTTCTTCATGGCAAAGGACATAGCTAACAAACTAAATAGAAAGCCCATGGAATGGGAGAAGATTTTTATCAATCATACATCAGATAAGAGCCTCGTATCCAAAATATAACTAGAGCTCAAAAAATCAAGCCCTCAAAAAAATAAACCATTAAAAAAACAGCCCAATTAATAAATTGGCTAAAGACTTAAAGAGAGACTTCACAGAAGAAGAAGTAAAAATGGCCAATAGATACATGAAAAATGTCCCACATCTATGCAATCAAATGCAACTCAAAACAACACTAAGATTCTACCTCATCCCAGTTAGAATGGCTGTTATCAAAAAAACTACAAATAACAAATGCTGTTGAGTTTGAGCTCAAAAGGGAACTCTATTGCACTGTTGGTAGGAATGTAGGCTTTTTCAATCACTTTGGAAAGCAGTATGGAGGTTTCTCAAAAAACCTTACACAAAACCCAGAAATGTCATTCATTCTTCCTTCCTGACCAAATGTCTTTAGTTCATATGAGCATACTTTATACACCACCTATTTATCCCAGATGTTCTACTTTGGACATGATCTAGTCCATTCACTTTCTCCCTAAAGTCCAATCCCAAAACACAAGTCTTCTTATGCTGTAGTAAATGTGACCATTATAGCAGAATGGTTTTCTATCCCTTCTTCTCCCCTAGACTTTCTATCTTCACAAACACAACTTGAAAATACACATTTCTTTCTGTATTGCCCATAACTATAATAATTTATGATTTTCCTATGAATTTTATTTAATCATATTTGTCAAAACCATGGGTAAAGTGCACATATGTTCCCATGTTTCACCTATCATTCCACAGACTGTTTTCAACAATGAAGTGGCAAATTCTCACAAAAGCATAATGGACAAACACATGGTAGTTGCAAGGAGACAGAATCCATTCCACAGAAGTTAGTCACACACTACCTATATTTCTATCCCCTACATGGTTCTTTCTGTTGTGTCACATATTAGGGTGTGAGTTGCTCTGTAGGTGACATTCCACCAAATAACAGTCAGTAAGGACTTACCTGCTGCTACTACAATAATATCTGCTAACTGGGTATGGACCTTCAGTTGTTCTCTGGGGGTGTATCTGTGGGCAATTGTCACAGTTGCATCACCTGCAATGAAGAAGAATTCCCATCAATGTCTACTGTGTGTGTTTCCAATTTTTTTTGTCAGTTGTGGGGCCTTGAACTCTGGGCTTGGGCCAGGGCGCTGTCCCTCAGCTCTTCAGCTCAAAGCTAGCACTCTATCACTTGAGCCACAGCGCCACTTCTGGCTTTTTCTGCTTATATAGTGCTGAGGAATCAAACCCAGGGCCTCATGCCTGCAAGGCAAGCACTCTACCACTGAGCCACCTTCCCAGCCCTGTGTTTCCAAATTTTATGAATGTTTTAAAGCTAGAGAAGTTTGGGTTACTGCTTAACAATAGAAAAAAATGTTGCTGAGTGCTGGTGATTCACATCTATAATCCTAGCTATTCAGGAGGATCACAGTTCCAAGCCAGCCTAAGCAAGGAAATCCATGAGACTCTTATCTCCAATAAACTTCTCAGAAAAAGTCAGAAGTGGCACTGTGGCTCAAAGGGTAGAGCACTAGCCTTGAGACAGTGTCCAAGCCCTGATTTCAAGCTCCAGGACTGGCAAAAAAAAAAAAAAGAAAGAAAAAAAAATTGCTTTGATGTCACAAAGTCACTAAATCTACATGAACCAAAATATTTTGCATTTCAATTATGTGCATGGAAAAATCAAAGAGGATTCAATTAGGATACTTTCTGATAGTCAAGGGAGAGTATAAATCTTTTAAAATCCAGAATTTGAAAATTTTTATCAGTTGGTTAATATGTCTATCTGGGGGATAATACGTTGACTTTCTGAAGAACAATACTGAAAAGAAATAAGTGTTGGGAGAGTAAATCATGGGCACAAAGTTGAGAGACTAGTTTCACCATGAAAAGGTGATAAAGAAGGGATCCTAGAGAATGTAAAATATTGTTTAGGACTTCCAGCATAAGCATGAGTATATTAATCAGGAAAGGATTGAAAGGAAAGTAGGGTGGAGAAACACCTTCGAAATGATGTATTTGGAAAATAGTGAAGAAGACCAGAATAAGAGAAAGTGTTTGTATGAAAAGTTCAGTTGTGCACTACTGTTGGTGAGAATGTAAACTTGTTCAACCACTCTGGAAAGCAGTATGGAAGTTCCTCAAAAGACTAAACATAGAACTTTCCTATGACCCAGCAATCTCACTCTTGGGCATTTATCCAATTGCCAACAAACCAGGCCACACTAAATCCACCAGCACAACCATGTTCATTTCTACATTGTTTACCATAGCCAAGATATGGAATCAACTCAGATGCCCTTCAGTGGATGGATCAAAATAATGTGGCACATATACACAATGGAATTCTATTCTTCCATCATAAAGAATGACATTGCCCCATTCATAAGGAAATGGAAAGACTTGGAAAAAATTGTATTAAGTGAAGTAAGCCAGATCCAAAGAAACATAGGTTGCATGGTTTCCCTGTAAATCTATAAGTAAACACAATGGATAGTAAAAGACATGATATGATCATATAAAATGATTTTTTAATCAAAATCAACTATAAGAAATGGTAACAAGAGGATTTTTAAATTTTTACTTTTTGTATTGTTTGTGTATGTTTTTCCCTTTTGTCACTGTTTTTTATTTCTGTACTGTTTGCCTTGCATGTCAGTTTATCTGGTTTGGGTAAGGTAAATGGGGAGCACAAAACTGTAGGACAAATGGTGAACAAATAGAGCTGTGATACTCACTAGAGACTACATTAAAAATGAACAATACAACCTGTGGGGGATGGGTTGGGAGGGAGAAACTGAGAGAAAATGAGACAAGAGGTGACATGGTTCAAAAAGAAATATAGAGGAGGAAAGGGATCATAGGAGAAAAACAAAGGAGGGGTAACAATTCTCAACAAGAAATGTACTCATTACCTTATGTAACTGTAACCTCTCTGTATACCATCTCTACAATAAAAAAATTTTAATTAACAAAAAAGCGAAGTTCAAATATGGAGTTGAGTTAGGGATAAATAGAGGTATAAGCAGCCTGAGACATCCCAATGGTTAAAAGGAAAGGTAGGGTGGTGATGAGGGACTTCTAGTGAATGTGGAGCTGTGTGAGACATTGTTTTCATCCAGGAGGATATGCACGTGCTGCCCAGTTAACAACAACAAAATCTGCACAACCTTCATCTTTAGTTAAACTAGAACACATTTTCTCCAAAGACTTCAAAAACATGCAAGGATTGCCCAAAATGGCCATTAGCATGTAACCCACAGGGATAAAGAAAGCAAAAAAGCCTCCAAGAATAACATGTTGGTCAGCAACAGCAGATCTGTGGAAATGGCTGTGAAAGTGGTAATTCTGAGGGTAAAGAGCACCCATCCAAAATGTGACAAGCATATCTTTCTCACTGTAGCAGAGAGTATAGGAACAATGACCGAGAAGCCCTCTTGGGCACAGTCTAACAGACTGTGTGGAAATGCAGACCCACAAGGGAGTCACCCCAATAGGAAACAGAGAGAAAGAGGTGAGGAGATCAGGAAGGCAGCCTGCACCTCCCCCCTAACCCATAGAACTATCCTACATGTAACAGATCCAATAAAAACAATGATGGGTAATTGGAAAAAAAAGAATTTTATGAAGCATAAATCAAAGGCCCTATATAAGGTCAAGCCCAGGGAAACTGGTCTAAGACACAGACGAATAAATGCAAATGCTATTTGCATTTACTGCATAGAAACAATTCAACTAGAAAATTAAAATGGGAAGGGGAGAGAAAGTTTGCTAACATATAATAATGGAAGTCAAAAAATATCATTTCAAAGCTGAATAAACAGTAGTAGAAACATTAAAATAATTTAAAGTTATAAAATCACTCTAAAAGATCACTTGTAGGCAAATATTAACTAAGCAAAATTAATGGAATCAGGACAAAATCAAAACATTTTATCAATGATTTTATTAGCGTCTGGTATCAATAGATACCATAAAAAGAAATAGTGAATTTAGGGGCTGGGAAGGTGGCTCAGTGGTAGAGTGCTTGCCTTGCATGCATGAGGCCCTGGGTTCAATTCCTCAGCACCACATAAGCAAAAAGAAAAAAGCTGGAAGTGGCGCTGTGGCTCAAGTGGTAGAGTGCTAGCCTTGAGCTGAAGAGCTGAGGGACAGCACCCAGGCCCAGAGTTCAGGCCCCATGACCAGACCAAAAAAAAAAAAAAATAGAAATAGTGAATTTAAAATATTATATAATGCTATAGTTATTGACTGAACCAAAAATGTTCCTAAATATTAAAAGAACTATAAGCTAAAAAGAAAAATCCCTTTTTCAAAAATTCATTAAGCAACATAAACAGAACAAAACAGAATGCAATGTAATTCTGAACACGTATATTTATCAAAATAAAAATACAAATTTTCCTATTTTAAAAAACAATTTTCAAATTCATTCAAAAAAGTAAATAGTTATTCTATACTCTTCTAATTATATTCTATATTTATGACACATCTAAAGAAAGATATTAAGATTCAGAAAGGTCAGAAATGTTGAAGATGGGAATTGGGCAAACACAGTAGGAAAATGACACAGGAAGCACAAGAAGTTCAACATTAATAAGACAAAGAGTGTATATTCAAAAACAAAATGGTAAGCTGGGAGCTAGGGACACATGCCTGTAATCTTAGCACCAAGGAAGAAGGATCACCAATTGAAGTCTAGCCTGGTCTACATTATGAGACTCTAGTCTCAAATTTTTTTTAAAAAAATGGATGGTGGTGGTGGTTGACATAACAAAAAGATAATAAACATATAAAAATAAAAGAAATACAATTCATAAAGCAAAAATTATAAATGGCAAATGTAAATACATCAATTCATGATCAATCAATAATTTTAATGTAAAAATTATATATTTATATATGCTTGTGTGCATACATATATATGAGTATATATATATATATGTATATATGAGTGCAGTATGTCAAAATCTGAAAATAGGTCATATATTTATTTTTGCCAGTATTGAGGATTGAACCCAGGACCTTGTACTTGCCAGGCAGGTGTTCTAATATTTGAACCATTCCCTAGCCCTTTCTGCTTTAGATATTTTCGATTCTTCTGGAGCTAGATTGAATTGTAATCCTTATGCAGAGCTGGGAAGTGGTGAATCCAGAATACTTTACTCTTTAAGCTAAATCTATATATAAGAGCTCATCCAGCTTACATTTCTTTCTTTTATTGGTCAGTCATAGGGCTTGAACTCTGGGCCTGGGCGCTGTCCCTGAGCTCTTCAACTCAAGGCTACCACTCTACCACTTGAGCCACAGCACCACTTTTGGTTTTCTGATGGTTAACTGGAGATAAGAGGCTTATGGACTTTCCTGCCCTGGCTGGCTTTGAATTGCGATCCTCAGATCTCAGCCTCCTGAGTAGCTAGGATTACAGGCATGAGCCACCAGCACTGGGCTCCAACTAACATTTCTTGCTTGGGATTTAGAAGCTGATATTTGCTAGTTCTTAAACTGGCAGAACAGCTGAGTTTAGAAAATAGTTGGCTCACACTGGAAGAAGTTACAAAAATGTCAGAATTTACAGCCTACCATAGGCCCACAATTAGAATTCTGTTGTCAGGATTTTCTTCTAGGCAAAAGAAGGAAAAAAAAATTGTCACTCCTAAATTTATTGTTCAACAATAAAGATGCTTTCCTTAATGTTCAAAATTTTGGTGTCCCTAAACTGGACCAGTGGAAATATTGAATGTGTAAAATAAAGCTAAGAATACTTAACTTCTAGGTGTATGAATTATTCTGCCTAAATTAGTGATAAGCAGCATAGTTCAATTTAGACTTGATCAATCAGAGTCACATAATGATATTATATGACTATTATAAAACTATAATGTTAAATAACCATGGTCATGTGTTTGGCCTGCTATGCAGTAGGCCTGGCAAAGAGTGGTGAATCAAAGAAATCATAAACAAAAATGTTTAAATGATGCCTCCAGTCCTCTCTCACTGACCCCTGTGAGTGGGCACCTCTGCTTGTTCCTGATACCTAGTTTTCCTGGTAAC